GTGTGAGAGAGAGAGAGAGAGAGAGAGAGAGAGAGAGAGAGAGAGAGAGAGAGAGAGAGAGAGAGGTGGATGTTGTTTTCAGTGCGTGGTTTGCAGGCCCTGGGAGATTATTTAGATTTTTCTGCTCGTCACTCGCCAAATATAGATGGCCTGAGGAAAGGAGGGGAGCAGCGTTCTGGATCGGATATCTTAAGAGAGAGAGAGAGAGAGAGAGAGAGAGAGAGAGAGAGAGAGAGAGAGAGAGAGAGAGAGAGAGAGAGAGAGAGGAAAGGAAGGTGGGGGACGGTGATGGTGAGCTACTATGTGTCGGGTTGGTTGTCTTGGAATGTGACGGCCAGTTGGTTGAACCAGGTAGGAAGGATCGCAGAACTTTCGTTGAGTGGGCGAGGAAGTATCACGAGAATTGTTGGTCGAGACTCGAGAGAGAGATGCAGATACTGTCTTTCTGCAAGTTGGCGGACCAACACGTGTCTGTTTGCGATCATTGCGATGACGATGGTGACACATTGTACTTGATGCGTTGGCTTTTAAAAACTTTTTGAGTGATTGACACGTGCCAGATGTCTATTGATCGAATCTTCTCCACAATTTGGCGATGATCCTTGATTGCCCAGCCCACTCCATCCTTGATTAGCGAATGATTGACACTTTGATTGGTCGACAATCGATCGACTGCACAGTGGCACCTTGGATGGCCGATGATTGTTGGAAAACGATCCTTAATTGATTCAATCTGACAAATGGTTGAATCATTCTCCTGAAATGATTGGGTTGATGATGCCATCATGATGGGAACAACCCAAGGTCGAATCCTGCTGCGTGGGCCTAATCGAGACTTAAAAAAGTTGGGAAAGTGGTTGGGACCACCACAATGGGCCTGCGTAGCCCAGTCCAGTTGGTACATCCATGAACTAGGGAAATATAGACCCGAGCTCGAATCCTGATGTCACCAGCTGTCACCAGCTGACCAGAATAAAATCATTCTGAATTTAACCGGGGGCCGGTCAGTTCAATGAACGTGGTCGGGATAAATCTTATCCAAAAAAAATGTCCGTCAGTCGGTGTAGGGCCTAAGAACTTGATACCCCTTAAAAAAAAAAGAAAAAAAAAAGAAAAAAGAGAACTTGATACCGCCCGTGTTCATCCCGAATCGTACGCCCTTCCTTTCGTCAAAGGGTATCAATTATGAGCGGTAGATTGTAGAAATGACGGTCGACGGTCGACGGTCGCGATCGCGTGGAGCAGTCGGGATGAGTCGTTAAAATATGCGATATGTATCTTGTAATACCACCAGAAATTTCGGTTGGTTGTGTTTGTTTTTTTTCTTCTGTAAATGGCAGGAAGTCGTAGGAAGCCAATGCAAGAATCAGTGGAAAGCTGGTTAAATTCGGACAAGAGAATTTTTTTGATAGCAGTACTGTCCATGTTCTTCTGTAGGTTAAAAGTTCTTGGTCGATTTTTTTAAAGCACCAGCGAGTCCCTCTCTCTCTCTGTAACTTAAGAAGTATGGGGAAAAAACAAAAATAAAATCATTTCTCGAAAAAAAAAAAAGAAATGCATGCGCTTGGGGATGCTTGTCAGGACTACCGTGTTCCCCCGAACGCAACGCACCCTCATTCTGGCTGTATCTGGCCGGAAACATGTCTTGTATGCGTTCATTTTCAGGGTGCGCTATGTTCGGTGGAAGGCGGTAGGGTGGTCGGATTTAATTTTCGCACACTCATTCTGACTGTATCTGGCCGGAAACATACCTTGTATGCGTTCATTTTCAGGGTGCGTTATGTTCGAGGGAAGACGGTAAGGTGATCGGATTTAATTTATAGGTCAGGCAGGAGTCTCGATGTGCACTACCGCCGGTCTAATTCCGCTCCTTACTTCTGACAGTTTTTTTTGTACCAGGAAAAAAAAAAAAGAGAAAATCAACTTCAAAAATTTTCGCCGTCATTGTCGCACTAGATATCCTTTATCTCCCCTCCCCTTCTCCTCCCCTCCCCCCCCCTCCTCCCCCTTCCATAGACAAAAAAAGGTTCCCACATCTTTGCGCTAGACTTTGCTGCAAATTATTTATGAAATTATGATTCAATTATCCGCGACAATTGAGGCAAGTATAAATAGTAATAATATATTATGTTATAGCTCTCATGAAACTGCGAATTAACTTAATATATTTATTATTATTATTATTATTATTATTATTATTATTATTATTATAGAATTCATAAAATTGCAAATATATTTTAATAATATTAGTAATACTTATGTTTAATATTACAGCATTAATGAAATTGCGAATTCAATCGGTTTCAGGAAAAAGACAGTTACTGTAAGTATGCTGGATACGAAATACAATAAGTTTTGAAGGAAAAGAAAAAGAAAAAGGAAGAAAAAAGTCGGTAATAGGGTGCTATGCAGAACAATAAGTTTCGCAATTTTTAAGTTTTTTTGGTAAGGAAAGAAATCGTATATTTTTTTTTTGTTTCTTTCTACTCGTCATTTCCAA